ATTAAATAATCAGTTGCATTCATTTCTTATGGCTCTATCTGCAGATTTTCCAGAGTCATTTCTTATGATCACATTTTTCCACAGGCCAACAACAGCTTCAAAAAAACTATTTCCCTCAAAGAAAGAACCAAACATGCCCTGTTGTCGTGAGAGAAAAAGTGCAGAAGGAAACATCCATTAAACTCAGTGTGCTGCTCTGTGACGCTAGTTCAAGCCAGATACTTGGCATCTCATCTTGGGTGCAAGGTCATCAATGTTTGGGGTCAGGCTCTGAGCTGAGGAGACCCTCAGGATGGAGTGAAGGTGTGCGTGCAATATACCGGCGGGCCAGATCTAATAGTAATTAAAAATTATCCTGCGGGCCGAAATTAAATCCACCAAGGGCCTGATTTGGCCCCCGGGCCTTGAGTTTGACACATGTGCCTTAGATTCACAAGCTTTACATGCTGGAAGATATTTGTGAGGGAACATACCATAGTGATTGATGAGTTAGTCAGTAATTCCTCCTTCTCCTCTAACATCTCGGATGCCTCCATCTGCTAAAAAAACAAACAAATGCGGTCACATTAAAAAACCTGCCAGTTAGACGGACAGAATATCAGAATGAGTTGACAAGTTTGTTCTTGTATGATTTCTCACCTCTGGAGCTTTTGCCTCATCTTCTGACTCCAAGATCTTGTTTTCATTTTCGTCTTTCAACAGTGCGTCGTCGTCACAGGGTAAATTGACAGTTTCCTCCTCATCGTCCTCGGCTGGTATCCCGTTGTCATTCTCCGTGTCATCCAGAACGCTCATGTCGAGGATGTCCATTTCCTGCATGTTCTCATGATCATCCTGATGCTCCTCCTTCAAAGAAAGACAGACAGACATTTGCTGAAGTCTATAAAGAACGCTGAACAGCAGTATCGAAAAACTATGCAGGGAGTTCAATTCTGCAAAGCATCCCGTTATAGAACTGCTTAAGTGTGAGAAAATAGGTTCAGCAAACTCACATTGCAATCTTCCTCCATAGTGCTTTCTTCTGGTTCATCGTTCTCTGGCATTGCATCTGCAGAAAATATGATTTAGTTTAGTCAAAGGGCTCATTTTGATGTCTCAGAGGTGTCAAAGAAATGTTCGGTGGGTCACAGAAGTGCAGATTTACCTCTACAATTTGCACAGTTGGTACACCTTACACCACAATGCACTTCAATACCAACTTTTCTAAATTACTATTGCCTTTATAGTAGGGCTGAACGATTAATCGATTTTAAATCGAAATCGCGATTTTAAATGATGCAATTATCAAATCGCAAAGCCTGCGATTTATTTTTTGTTCTTCTTGTGTGTCAGTCATCCACACCAATCAGAAGTGCTGTGCTCCACATGTACCAGTCATTGTTAACCAATCAGAAGTGGCCCATGATAGTAGGTGATAAGACAGATTGATCCAATCATCTGCCTAGTATTTTTGAAATACTTTTCCAAATGGCTTCCAACGGAGCGTTCCTAGATGGTTTGGTGAAACAAACCATCTGAGTCAGGTTAGTAATGCTCCATCACATGTTCTACATCTATTACAGGGTGAGTCTGAAACTGAAGCTTGACTTTAAAGCAACCCAACGGACGTTTCATGTAAGTTTAGTTCTTTCACTCGTAGCTCGGGCTGCGGGGGTGCTAGAGACGGGAGCACGTTGATACGACCTTCCTAGCCGGAGATATGGCCGCATTTTACAATGAACCTCCGTTGGGTCGCTTAAAAACAAATATCGCAAATCGAATCGCAATATCTGTCAGAAAAATCGCAATTACATTATTTCCCCAAATCTTGCAGCCCTACTTTATAAAACAGCTCTCTTACAGTCTCCTACTAAATTCCACTTAATAAAACTCATTAAATATTGGTTATTTGTTGCAGACAATGACATTGCTTAGCACTTAAACTACTTGTGGGACCTGCCTAGGAAAATATACACTGTACATTTATTGAAAATGGAAATTAAATACAGGGAAACATTTGAAATTCTACTAATTTAAGTATATGTTTTACTCTGGCGTGGCAACTACTCATTACATGTTCTTTTAACTCTTCCCAAGGAAGCCACAAAAGCCTTTGGGAAACTACTTTAAGCCACTATGACACAAAAATATGGAAAACTCTGCCGTTTAAATGCTAGATTTGCTGACTCAGTGGACAGTTTCGAATGACGACTCAAATCGTCTCTTTTTAAATAGCTTATATTTGACTACGTGCTCTTTCAGATGATAGAGAACATATTTTCTCCCTTCCTCCGTGTGTATTTGTTTTTCCAAACTATTGTTCTGTTGCAGAACTGTAATAACTCTGTGCTGCAAAAAACACAAGACTGAGTGTGCAAAGACAGAGCAGACCGAAATAACACATTTTTCTGCAAACTGCATCTGGTCCATTAGACTTTGAGTTTACCTCTAGATAAGATTAGATAAGATCAGGGTTCATACACTTTTTCACCAATGATTTTCCATGACTTCTCCACGACCTTTACCTAATATTCCATGACCAAAACCATTACTCTCTCAGCGGTACCACTGAAAATGTGTCAGTTAAATGCCATTTTATGTTTCATTACTATACGATACAGTATTTATTATCATTATAGTATTACTATTTCGGCGATTAGCTAAAATATAAATTATATTTGATGCAACTTTAGTTACATTTCCATGACTTTTCCAAAACTTTGGGAAAAATATTGTTTTCCATAACTTTTCCAGGGCCTGGAATTAGCATTTTGAATTTCCATGACTTTTCCAGGTTTTTAATGACCGTAAGAACCCTGTAAGATACACCTTTATTGATCCCCGTAGGGAATTTCAGGTATATTAGCATGCAACAGAAACAAGGGTGAAACACAGGATAGGACAGATATGAATTCACAAAAGGATGATCGTAAAAGTAAAGAAGTGTAAGAAATTAAAAAATGTAACAGTATAGGGTCAAATGAAAGGTGTTTAGTGTTTACATATGTACTACATAATGGTGCCAGTCATGAGTACAGGCAGTCATATACTTTACATTTTGTTTTAAAACTGTAAACACCTATTTTTTATATATATTTATTTGTATTAGCACAGTTAGAGGGAGCTCAAGATTGGATAACCAAGACCTTCAATGCTGTAAATGCATGCTTCCCTGCTGTGGATATGATAGAGAATGTGCATGCAATACCACTACACAGTATCATGTGTCACTTGGCAAGCAGAGCTGACTTTCCAGTCTAGTTTCATTTAAACAGGAACTAATAAAGGCGGGTAATGATGTCAGAGTGTACGTTATAGGAGTGTCTGGTTCAATGGTGTTCAACATGCAAACCTTACCTTTGGAGGACCGTTTGACGTGAGTAGCTTTCTTAGGGATCGACTCTGGAGCAAGAATAATCTCATCAGGGTTTCCACCCTCTTCCTCGATTGCCTGGTTATGGGGAAACCAACACTTTAATAGACTGTACAAATAAGAAGGAGTTAAAAGTATCAAAAACAAGGTAAAATGTGTAAAAACCTAAAAATAAATAAAAGATTGGAGCAGTTGTTTTGTTTTTGTTATTTTTTAAATGTATTTAACGATTATTCCAATACATAAGAAAAAGACACATCAGTGTGCATCACATTAATTCAAAAGTGAGGGCATTACGTAGAGAAAACAGAAGAGAAAACAATAACTATAGTGGTCACTCAATAATGAAGGTGTTAAGAATTGTGTAAAATGTTTAACTTTTGCACAATTTAATCAATTTTTTGGTATAATTTCATGTCAATACGAAAAGCAATAAAAACTGGAGTGAACTTGAATAGACTGTATATCATTAGAAGGAGTTTAAAGGAAGAAAAAAAAAAGTCAAATGTGTAAAAAGCTACAAAATAAGAGCAGTTAATGAGCTGGTTGGCGCAAATGCTAGCTAATGCTAACTAGCACACCGTTCAGGTCAATGGGCCGGTGAAGCTAACCTAGCTTAAGTTAAGATTAACAGGGTTCATTCGCAAAACAACGAATTGTAGGCTGGTGTGTATTAGTATAATGGAGTGCCTAATCGTTTAAATAGAGAGTAGTCTGGATACCTTCTTCAGCCGCTCGGACAGCACGCTTTTGACGCCGGTGGTATCCAGGTTTCGTTTCTTCAGCTCGGCCTTCAGATCGATCACTCTCAGATCCGACAGTCTGCGGACCTCTGCTCCCTCCGATAGAGTCACGTCTGCGGATGGGTCAGCCATCGTTTCGTCCGTGAAAATATCTCTCTCAAGGTTTAATTAATCCCTTTTTTGATACACTTTATTTCCTGGTGCTGCAGAACGAATGGAAGCAGCTTGCTATACAAAACTACTGCAAAATGGTGGCTGTGGTGAGCCATTTCAATACGGCGCATGCGCAGTGCAGTTAGAGTGCAGCGATATCATACATGTGGTTTCAGAAAGAGGGAAACAAGCAATATGCAGAGATAGTATAGTAGTATATCATGATGACTGCAACTTTTTAGATGCTGAATTGAAACGACTTTTCTCTGTACATGCTATATGCTAGGACTAGGATTTTCAGGACTGTCTATCAACAAAAATTAAAGGACAAAAAGAGGGGCTTCATATTGAAGAAATTGACACTAAATTAAACTTATTTTTGTCTGATTTAGAAGTGCTGAATTGAAAGGAAAACATGCTAAGTCTCGTCTCAGAGGTTATGAAGAACTGAAATTAGGTGATGACCCCTAAAGCAATTTAGGACGACTACAGACTTGTTAGTATTATTATTAACGGCTTTCATTGATTTTCTTACTCTTCATTTATGTTCTTATATTATTATTACAAATGATACAAGTCATTTTCTTTATCTAGTTGTATGTTAAGAGTTGTTTATTGTTGTTATAGTACCTATGAATGAATCATCTTCTATTGAGATAAACATACAGTGATGGCAATAAAGTATTTTTGGTGTGTAGAAATGCATGTGGGATGTAATAAAAGTTACAAAAAGCTAAATAAACACTTCACAATTCATCTTAAATATGGTTTATTTATTTCTTCTTACAAACAGAATACATATCAGACTCGATCTGCAGTGTATACTTTGTTAATGCATTATAATGTATCAAATTAATATAAAAAAATCTTTATAAAACATTTAAAAAACATAATGCATAGTTGGGGTGAACATAATAGCTATAGACTATTTAAAAAAACCTAACTTCCGTCAGAGGCTTTCCTCCCTATCTTTTCTCTTTGTGTGTGTTTTGTACTGCTGATTAACCATATGTAAAGGTTAAATCATAGCTTTCATAATGCTTAGTGAGAATGAAAGTTGTACATGTCACTAAATTTGAAGTTTGTATCATTTATCTGGGTATGGGGCAAGCTTTTGCTGGCAACAAGAGGTTGAGGCGCGTCAAATAATTCATGACAGTCCGTCTCCTCTGGCACATTGGCACTTCTGGATGAAGCTGGAGTGGTGGAGGCCGTCTGTGCCTGATAGGACCAATCATTTGACGCTGAACCAACAGAGGTAAAGAAGGAGACCTCAGGAACGTCGAAGGAGTCGAGGCTGAAGGACGAGGAGGCAGAAGAGGTGCTCGGTGTTCGTGGCTCATGCAGGTTGAGTTTGGAGACCAGAGGTTTGCCGACTGACACTGTTTGCCTCTCCTGAATTTCCTCATCCATGTTGGAATATGTGTACTGGAGGCAAACGGCGAATGTGAGCTCACGCTATGGAGACAGTGAAGTGAGAAATGTGTTTTTAGCTTGAGCAAAAAAATATAAAAACGTCTGTTGGCTCTAAATTCGGGCATTCTTTCATCTTTTTATAATGATTTTATTTTTTTACTTTGATCTTTACTAATATTATCAAGTGTGTATATTTGCTGTTTATATCCCATTCATTTGACAAATCCTACCTTGTTTTTATGTTTATCTTTGTCTATTTTCACTTAAGTGCTTCATTTCATTTCAAACCTTTATTTAACCAGGTTAATCCCATTGAGATCATCGATCTCTTTTTCAAGGGAAACCTGCTGCAAGTAGGTTCCACATGAAGACGTACAAACATAAAACAACAGAAAAACTAAAAGGACATCATACAACATAGATACAGGGATTTACAATTGACATACCTAACGACATTTACAGGTACCAACAGTATCAGATTGCATAGCATCTATCCGAGCTTTAAAAACATGTAGTGGAACCAAATTGCTCAGTTTCCATTGTTTTTGTATTTCTAAAATGGATCACAACTGTCTATATTTGCTGCCATCTGGCCTCTTAAAATTAAGAAATATCGCTTATAATGCAGACTTTGCCTAAATGATCAAATCACCAGGGGTTATACCATTAATAACCGTCTGTAAAATCAATTTCCTGCAATGTTCATTAGTGACATTTTATAAACTAATATAAGATGTACCTAAACTGAGAGTATCACCCTCAGTCAGTACTTTTTTTGTCAGGTCGGGGAGGGATTTTATGTGTTAAAGGTGGGGTAGGTAATTCACTTCAGAAACACTTTTTGTTATATTCCATGGAATGCTCTTAACATCCCGATAGCAATGAATACATTAAATGCTTTGACAATAAATACATTAAAAAATGTCATCTGTGGAAGCCGTGGCACTGTAAAAAGCACGACCAATCATCTGAGCCGGCCCGGCTAAAACAACTGGATGGCCTACCTGCCTGTCAGCCTTCCATCTGTGCACAAACTTATCTCATGCCCTCATTGGTCATGTGCGCGTTCGTGTGTGTTGGAGGAGGGGCTCTGTGAGGAAGTCTGAAGGAAGGGGCAGATTTTTTTCGGTTGTGTACTTTCAAATTCTAGCGCACTCGAGCTGGTTTCTCCATTCTTACCTACCCTACCTTTAAATCTTTAGTTACTTGAGATTTTGGTTAGGTTTCCTGTATTTTGTGTGGATTTATACATAGAGTGGTATGAGTGTATACATATATATGTAGAGACATCTATGTTAAGTTGTTTCTATACCAAAAAAGACAATGATAGAAACATATATATTGCTATGAATAGAAAAATAAATCAATTGAACATACTTAAATACTGTTAATTGTAGACTAGTTAAATATGTTTCAATGAAATATGGTGTAAAAAGCCTACTACTTATTTATATCCAGAGGGCATATTAACATTTTCCAAGTTTCTCCTAACAAGTGTCTGACCTTGAGTCTCTGCAGGCATCGGATGCGCGTGTAGAGACTGGGAACCTCTGGTGAAGGAAGATTATCATTGATCAATAACAAACTGCCGGCTTCAAGAAGAGTCTCCTGGTTACTCTTCTTCAGATCAATGGCCACGTCCTGTAACACAGAATGAAGTCAGTACAGAACAAATGTCTTAGGAGGGTTTAAAAATCTCAAATGTTCGTATGTAATAACTGCTGACAAACATCAGGGAAGTCTGTAAGATGAGCACAGCAGGAAACTATTTCTTTGGGCTTCTCAAGTATCCGAGTGTAGATGACCATGATGTTGGAGAACTCTGCAGCAAACCCAAGCTGGACCTTCACTCCACAGTCAAACTCCAGGCAACGGCTCTTTGGCAGGACTGAAGAGAGACATTTGAATTCAGTTATACTTTAATCAAAGACATATATACACCTAAATGAATTAACCTACAAACATGAAAAATTGTTCAAACTGATGAATCGAGTACCGTGAGCGACAACCCACTGCAGGTTTCGGGCTGAATGTGAAGCAGAGCATTCAGAGTCTTGAATCTGGTCGGTGAGTGAGCGTCGTTCAGACAGATTACTGCGCAGCTCCAGAGCCTGCCTCCCCTGTGTGATCTGACAACGACCCATGTCTGGACAAAGAAAATATATTACAGTAAACAGAATGGACCAAAGATTGTTGGTGCAACAGGTGCGTTCAACAACCAGAGTGTTATGTGGTCCGATGTTTAACCCACAGAGGGCAGTACAGCAGCATTTATTTACTTTTATGAATCTGTGTTTGGCAAATTTCCAATTATTTCACAGATGTAGTTCCTCCACAGAGAAACTGTTACATTTGAGGTTTGTTCAAACTGAAAAAAGTGTTGTATGTCACCAGAGGAAGAAAAAAAAAATCCCGGCATGCGATGTTCATTAAATGTGCATGCTGAAAAAATAAATGTCAGGTGTAGAAATACTTTCCATGCACCACAGATACTGTAGATAGTGTAGCGCAGCAACATAGAGATCCCATGCTCCACATACCTTCACCCACTCTGTCTAGCATGACGGTGACCTTCTCATCTTCACACACTCGCCGTTTGAGGAAGCTTATGAAAATGCCATTTGACACGTCTTCCCTCTTCACTTCATATGCTTCCGCGTCAACACATCTAAACACACAAAGCTACACATGAGTGACACTTTTAACCTAAAGCAGGGAGATTAACTTAGGCATGTGTTTATTCTATCGTCTGAAAAACTGGATGAAGGAAATGAAGACATCAAATGAAGAGAATCTGCAGACTTACGTGGCATATCCAAACACTATATTTGCCGTCACCTTGAGCAGTCCTGGTTGTACAATAATGTCATCATTTAGGTTTCTAATAAAGAAAGCATTGGAAGCATTAACACGTGCAGCAGATGATATAACTTAAATGTGACATTAAAATGCTAGTACATTAAACCAATAAATTGAAAGATAATGTATGTACCTTTTGCGGCACATGTCCAGCAGCAAAACATTGAGTCCCGTCTCTTTCTCCTGCATCCTGGTGAGTACATTCTGAACACACAGACAGTGCTCTGATGTGTAGGAGGCCGGTGCATCGATGGGAACCATGAAACTGTTGCCAAAATTCTCATAACCGTGACCAGCAAAGTAAAGCAAGCCTGTTGAAGGAGAGACGAAGAAGGGATGGCACAATTTCAGTGTGTCTCTAGGTTAAAGTGGACCTATCATGCTATATTTGAATAATATAGTGTAGGACCATACCTATATAAGGCATATTTATACTTTTTTTTTTTCAAAATACCAAACAGATCATGCATTTTAGCCATGCCTCATTTTGCTCAATTTGACCATTTCTAGCTCTGGGCAGATTCTGTGAGAACAGCACCATCTACTGGCCTGGCATATGTACTACAGCGTCTCCAGCGCTTTCGAACGGCAATGGCCGTGGCTGTCTCCTCCTGATTGGTGGAGTTGGCCCAATAGCCGTAGCGCCACCGTCCTGACGTCAGGACAGTGTTCAAATCTGGATCAGTTTTTATCAGATCCGTTGCAGCCCCTTTTTTAGAGATTTGGGTATGGAGGAAAATAGAGAGGGTTGTGTTTTCTGACACTTGGTGAGTTCCCTGGAACACCGGGGACACATATTCATGTATAAAAGACGTACAAAAGTGCATTTTGCATGATAGGTCCCCTTTAAACTGGCACAGATGCACGGTCAGATTGTAAGTCTATCGCTTTTTGCTGGTAAAGAAAATCAGCATTTAGTTGTATGTGTTATATTTTTGTAAAAAAAAACGATGTACATCTATTTTCATTTCATTCGAGGTCTGTAAAGTAAAGCCAAAGGAGAAGTGGCATAAGCTGCATTTTCTATAATATCCAGCAGAGGGCAGCTCCACTGGTTTCAAAAAGATGTCGACATGCATAGAAGTCTATGAGAAAATTATTCACTTGGAACTTGATTTATCGCCTCAGTAAACACTGTAAACACTGTAAACACTGTAAACATGAGTTAACCCTCCTCTTGTCTTCGTTTCCCCCCCCCCCCTTACTTTGGTGTTCGTGGTCAAATTTGACCGGTCTTGTTTTAACTGCTATTACATAAACACAAAAACCATTAATCATCACCAAATTTCATTTAACACACTTTCAAACTGTAAATATTGTATCAGCCTACTGGTATACATGAACAACTGCAGTAAATAAACAAAGAATAGACACTGAACATGTACTGGCGTGTGCCAGGTTTGATCCATGTGGGGATGGGCACATCCCTGCTGAAAAAAACAGCATAGGTTGCTGGTTTTAGCTGGTTTTAGCTGGTTTTAGCTGGTTTTAGCTGGTTTTAGCTGGTTTTAGCTGGTTTTAGCTGGTGTTAGGCTTGTGTTAGGCTGGAGAGACCGAGAGGGAGAAGTTGGCCGGTTACTACATTTCACAAAAAATACAGGACCTTGTGAAAAGCGGAAAGAAACAGTTGAAGGAAACTGCTTATAAATATGAAGTAATGGGTGTTTTGAAAATGTTTTCAAATTTGTGTTAATGTTCATTGTGTGTTATAAATTATTTGCAATCGAATGTAAAACAAAAAAGTTATGATTGATGAAAGTAGTAAATCGGTCAGATTTGACCCGAAGACAACAGGAGGGTTAATGGTCTCAATTGCTAGTTTCAAGTCTTCTTCAATACAGCATGTTTTAATTTAGTAAACTATGGTCCTGCCAAAACGCCAAACTCAAGGGTTCAACACCTCAACAAAACGTCCACTTCCTATATACAGTCTATGGTCATTTAGCACTAGCTTACGTTAACTGCTGCAGGGTGAATATTAGATATAAAGTTGATGTGTGACAGTATCTAGAAAAACAGTGGTATATCCTATTTCATAAATTATTATATAGGAGTAGAGCGGATGTTTAGCCTGTGCCACAGTGTTTAAAAGTACAGACACACATATAAAACATGTTTGGAACATAGTGAACATATTGTCCAGATGGTGAAAAGACAAACCATAGACTCCCTTGTCGAGCAGCAAGAGGAACTCTGTGACCGCGCTGTGCATCTCCTGCCAGTTGAGGTCCAGCAGGGAAACCACCTTGAAGTCCATTTGTCTGAGCAGGTTGGTCAGCTCGTGCACGTCAGCGATGGGAGCGCACAGCTGAGTGTGGTAGTGGTAGTTCATGTTGCCAATCAGGAGAGCAACTTTGTCTGTGGCTGCAGAGAGCAAGATAAGGTTTATTTCTATCCACAGATACCGTATTCAGACTGTCCTGTGTCTATTTCTTTTCACAAAACTCACCAGAGAATAGTTTAGCTGGTGGGGGCGCATTGACTATCTGTTGTAGTGGATGACTTCCTGCTCCATAGGTTGACCTGTGGACTTCCTGTGGACTTCCTGTGTGGGCCAACATCAATATGAAATGTCTCGTTTTAATTTAATCTGCAATGCTTGGTAAACACATCTACTACTGATTTCTTTTGATCAGATTAACCCAATCCACAACTGATCAGTCGGTAAAAACGTGAGGCTACACACACACATGGACACACACACATGATTAGATAACATGCTTTTACACAGAGAAAAAATAGGCCTTTCACTCCTGGACAAACAAAATAAGAATCAAAGAGTTATGACATGCAGAAAAAGGAACAACAATTCTAGTGTAGTTCCTCTGTTCTCTTCTAAATATTCTATTCAGAAAATAAATAGTACCTCGCCCACGATCAACTTCCACCCAGGAGGCCTCAGTGATGGAACTGGGGCCTGCATAAAAGTGCAAAACAGGAAGTTATTCAATGCACAGTACTTTTTTTTAATCAAGTGTGACATCGAGCCTCTACATGTGCACTGTCAGACCTAATGCTGGTCTATCTATGTTTATAATAATTATGGCGCATTTCCACTACAGCGCGGAGCGCAGTTTAAGCGTGCCGTGGCCCGTTTTTGGTTGCGTTTCCACTAGGGGTAGTTCCGGCTAGCGGGTACTTTTTCACAGTTTTTCTGGCTCTCCAAAATCGAGGTTCTTTCCGGGCCAACAACCGGGCTGAGTATGCTAAACTAGTGAGAGAATCGCAGGCAACTACAAGAAAATGAACATATTTGACAGTGATTTAATTGTAATACACGTTTCAAAATGATGCCGAAGTAACAACATACTGATACCGGTTAGTAAAAACCATGAATTAATGCTTTGACAAGTCTGCAGACAGACGGCAGGGGAAAAACCTTTTAAAATGCGCGTTGTCTAAATGGAGATCGGCTAAGCTAACGTTGTATATGCTCCGACCGTCCACACTCACAACAACGGCCTATACAGACATAAATAAACCAGCGACTGTATTCGCCATGACACAGACAGTCTGTGGTTTGTACTTGTTTAACTTTTGTCTAGTTTCTGAACAGATATGAGGAGCTGTGAGCTCTGAGTGCTAACAGCTAACGGCTGATGTTGGTTTTGTGTTTCGCATTGAAGATGACGTCACGGCTCCGCCTAAACTGCGTTACTATAGTTACTGCCCCAGCTACTAAACTGTAATGGAAACGCAGCATAAAGTGAGCCTGGCCTACCAAGGCCTAACTATCGTACTAAGCAGTGCGAGGCCCTGCAGTGGAAATGCACCATTATGTGTCAAAAGTAGGACTATTCATACATATATCTTAACTTACTTAAAAAGTAAAAATATACATCAGGGTCTCACCAATGGTGACTGTTGCTGTGTCACTCCACGCCTCGTGATACAGGTTGAACATCTTGCATTTGTACTGTCCTCTCTGTGCTGTGGTAACACATGGGATCTACAGGGAATATAAGAAAACACAACATCAACCACACACTGCATACTGACATAGAGACAAACAATGACATGAGTTAACTTTGTTTAATTTAATTAAAGGCTCTACACATTCTTTAGTTCTGCCTAACCTATTTACTTTCATATATGTTTTAAAACAAATAAACATTTAAATTGTATGCATCTTTATACTTCTACTTCACCACATCTCAGAGGGAAATTATGTACTAGACTTGTCTGACAGTTTTAGTTACATTTCAGATTACAGTTTTTCTAATTGTTCCTTTATGAGTTGAGGCATTGCAGGCATTTTCCCGAAAGTGCAGTATTTTAACAGTGTTGTATTTGTAATTTTACTATTAACTAAAGGATCTGAATAGCAATACGTACAGTAGTACTTATTAAAGGTCCCCTATTATACTGTTTTTCATCAATATATTATAGGTCTCAGATATATACAAAACATGTCTCTGAAGTGTTTGGCTCCAAACAACAAACAGATCATTGCAGCATCCCATAATCCCCTCTGTTTCAGCCCTGTTTCAAAAGCGCTGATTCTCTGTCTGTTACTTTAGATGAAAATAAGGAGCCCCTCCCCACGCCCCTCTGAGAGATATTTGGTTAAAAAGAACACAATGGTGCTCTAGGAGGAGATTCAGGTGATATTCAGGTGGGGGGGGGGGGGGGGTTACCTTGGTTGGTGATTGGCTAATGGTTACACAAGCCAAAACATCGTTATGACATCATAAAGTGGCCAAAATCTGATCAGCTCATTTTCAGACAGGTTTTTATAGAAATGGATCAGGGCAAAAAGAGAGAGAATCGTTTTTCCTGAAACGTTCAGAATCTCTTTACACAGAGGGGACACATGTTGATGTAGAAAAGACATGAAGAAGGGGATTTTGCATAATAGGTGACCTTTGAGAGCTGAATCTGTGAATGCACTTACTTTGAGTGATCGAGTCTTGTGTTGTGTCAGGGGCTCCATGTTGTGGAACCACTGGTACTGAGCAGGGGGGTTGGCCTCTGCACTGCACTCCAGCAGCATAGTGTCGCCCTCAGACACTGATTTGGACTTAGGCTGGATGATGACATGCAGCCCACTCACAGACCCGGGAAACAAAGTGCTGCTGCACCCTGAGGTGTGAATAGATTTACCAGATAATTAAATCACATGCCTTGGAAAGAAATAAAAGACAGTGACAAGAAGAAGGAAAGGTATCGGGACTAATACCTGCAGACTGGACGAAGCGAACATGAGCCCACTGGGAGAACACAACGTTTTCTCTGTGGTGAACCCGACAGATGTATGGACCCTGGTGGACGAGGGCTGAAGGACACAGAACCAGCTCTGCTGTACTGCCTGTCTCATCCAAAATCTAAAACAAGGAAATAATCTACAATAAACAATTTCTTAATGATATTTACCATCTCCACCTTGAAAATCTATATAAGATAATTAAAAAATCTCCTATCATGCTATTTTTAGGCATATATTATGGGTCTCAGATATATAAAAATATATTAAAACATGTTTGCTAATGTAAACAAAGACCATATTACGTCCAAAACACATCGCGCATTGTTTCTGATAGCGACGTTTCTGATAGGGCCGTGGGTGTAAAGCCAGCCCACATTTCCGATATGACGTCATATCGGATATGACGTCATATCGGAGGCAAATCTGGATCAGCTCCGTTGTACCCCCGTTTTTAGAGATGTGGGTGGGTACGGAGGAAAAGAGAGAGGGTTTTATTTTCTGACACTTTGTTAGTCTCCCGACACCGGGGACACATATTCATGTTTAAAGGACATTAAAAAGTGCATTTTGCATGATAGGAGACCTTTAAAACATTTAGCCAAACAATTCAATAAATACATAACACATGACTCAGGTTTTGATATGAAATCTCTCTATCATTACTTTTTATAATCACTAAGGATGCAGGATATATCGATGTCATGTTTATCATGGCTGATAGCAATAAGATTACCAATCATTTCAGATTTTTTTTACATTAACAAGAAGGATTGTGTATCCTTAATTATGAAATAATCACACGAGGTGTAACTGACTTCCTCTTTGCCTCTGAACCACTGGTAGCTGAGTCCCGGGGGGCCGCTGGCTCTGCAGGTCAACACCACCCGCCCCCCCACTGTGGCCTGCTGGTTCTGTGGCTGCAATGTGATCTGGATCAGCTCTGCCTCTACCACACACACACACACACACACACACACACACCCACACCCACACACACACACACACACACACACACACACACACACACACACACACACACACACACACACACACACACACACACACACACACACACACACACAGACAGGCACACACACACACACACACACACACAGGCACGCACACACACACAGACAAGTAGAAACAGAGGACAGGTATTGAAATATGTTATGACTTGCTATAACATAGCAAGTCATCGACATGTTCGATACTATAACATAGCAAGTCATACACAAACGTTGCATTTTTTCGACATGCTATATTATGGCTGTCATTTTTAACGACATACTATGCTACGCCTACCGTGCCTTATTTCGACATAAAATACCATGTTTTTTTTGTCATTTTTGTCATTTTTTCGACATGCTAAACTATGACTTTTTTGTCATTTTTTTAAACATGCTATATTATGACTTCTCGTTATTTTTAACGACATACTATACTACACCTGGTTTCCACACCGTGCCTTATTTCGACATAAAATACCATGTATTTTTGCACAAACACACAGAGACAAGTAGAAACAGAGGACAGGTATTGAAATATGTTATGACTTGCTGTCTGGGGTATCTTTATCAAGATAAGGTTTAAATATCCTAATTCTGGGAATTGAAAAGAAAAGTGGTTTAAAAGGTCAAAGATGGGTTTGGGTAACAGTAAAACAGGGGAAAACGTGTTGTCTGGGGATGCAAAATGATTGAAAGAGAAGGATGAAAGGAATATAAAAAGGTTAGAAAAGTGTCAACTGAACTATAATTTCACGGGAAGACTAGGGGTAGAGGAATGTGAGAATTTGGTTTGGGATCTTGCTTTTTGCCGCTACTTTTAATTGAACTATTCACATCTCACACTGCACTGTAACTTTTATTCATGTACCTGTATTATTATCTTTGCTTTTTATTCATTTTTGTAAAGCACTTTGAATTGCCTTGTGTTGAAAAGTGCTATACAGTATAAATAAACTTGCCTTGCCTTTTCTAAGCTGTCACTAATGTTATTTATTGCACCAGTTATTTCACTGCTATAAACCAAAATGCGCACACTGTGAAAGATTCCAAAGTAACTGCATGTGAGTAAAATAGTAGTTTAAATTAATTTAGCTTGTTGATAGTTCAACTACATTCATAATTGCAGTGATTAGATTACTGATTAGTTAGATATATTTGCTATTTTTTACAGTTAACTTCCTAAAACTACAAACAATGTTATCTTATTCACTGTCAAGTTGAGCTGCCACCACCACACACCTGTATACAAAGCAAAGCTGACAATTTCTTTTATACAGTTTTTTTTCTGTATATACCACCGTGAACAAGCAGGCACTTTTAGCAAATGCTAGATTGAGTGGCATTTTCTTCTGGCATGTGACTTTTCATTTGTGTTAATTATTTTTAGGCAAATTAAAGTTGCACATTTGTATCTCATGTCAACTCTTTTAGTTAACCAAACTAGATCATAACTATAACTAGATTTCTCTCTAGGGTAGCTTTGCTGTAGTTCAACTTCTTCCAGTATGAAGTAATTGATAGCTTTCAAAGTAGCTTCATCAGTAACACATTTACACACACTTTCACACTCAGTCTGAATTCAAAGCATCAACTCACAATCTAATACTAATATCTTTAACATTTAGGTAAGTGTCAGGGAATAATTTCCATTGATGTTTACCTTTTGCCCTCTGACGCAGATGCCCAGCCTTGGGCAGCATGCTATCTCCCTTAAGGAGGGGCTGCACTAGCATTTTGTTGTTGTTACTAGTTTGTGACCGGGTAACTCTCTGTCAGAGATAGTTATCGTTGTGGGACACCTGGAACACATCCTTCTCGGGGTGTAGATGACCTCGAGCCATAAGCGACAACAAATGTGATTCAGTGTCCTCAGCTGTTTAGTCTATCTATTGAAGAATGTTGATTATTTTTCATTTCATTTCATTTCAAACCTTTATTTATCCAGGTTGTATCCCATTGAGATCATTGATCTCTTTTTCAAGGGAGACCTGCTCACCTCTGATATTACACTCTGACCTAGTTAAAACCTCGAGCTACAGGAGGGTTCTTCAGAATTGATTGTGGCATCTCAACCGTGTGGTCAAACCGTGGCCCGTGACATGTCTTGTGAATTCTCCGGCTGAAGCTCCAAATAAACCATCAGTGTTTGCCATCAAAGCTCCAGCTCTCCTCGTGTCTCTCTGAGTCCTGACTCCAATTGCTTCAGAAGTTTCCCCCACAGTAAGCACATCTAAAGGATTACTGTATATCAACAGCTAGTAGCCTTAGAAAGGTGTAAAATTCCCTGCTGGGAAACAAACCCACGTTTAATTCAAATCCCTAGGATGTTATAGTAAGAGGTATTTCCAAAAATGGTAATATATGTAATTGCACATGTATTGCACACCCAGTCACTTCTTCTTTACCTGTGTACGTGAGATAGTGCACAGCTTCATGGTGGTCTATCTTCCTCAGGCAGTGCAGCAGGAAGTCCAGGGAGCAGGAACGATCGGCTAGCCGAGCGAGGACAGTGCGTCCCGGGCTGCCTGCAGCGCTCAGCACCTGGAGGGAGCAGCAGGTCAGCTCACTCTCACTGCAGGGGGTACAAGGGGCAGTGTTAGTCTGGTGGGGACAGTTCATAGGGCCAAACTCGCAGGAATGTGCACAATGAGTTTCAAGAGTATCAAGTTCAAGTTCGGTTACAGAGAAGCAGTCAAGAAAAACCTCCCCCCTCAGACACCCTCCAACAACGCTTATTGAACATGTATGATAATATGGCACTTTTTACACTACATTTATTTTGAAATCTTTAGTTACTAGTTAATTTCCAGATTGAAATTATTCATACAATATATAATCAGTTTATACATCAATAGGTTAACTTTACTGAACCCAGCAGTATATGCACACAAACACATTAACAAATCAATAGTTTATAAACCAGAAATATGATATATATTATTGTGAGCTGAGGCATTCTGCATAATGAATACAGTACTAAAAATAATATTTAAAGTTTGAATGCAGCATTTGTACTTGTAACAGTACATTATATAGTCAGTTATAACTTATTAAACAACTGAGTATTACTTCCATAAACTCAAATATAAGGGAAAACAGTATTAAAGTCATATATCAACAGAAACCCTTGTACTACAGGATGAAGTGTAAACGTCAGTTGTAATGTAAAGAGAAAAGTTGCGTGGTGCCTTCAATGTCTCTCACCTGCAGCGGAATCTCGGCTGCTCGGACACAGCGTTTGCCAGCTGCCTCCATCCGCAGATGGAGTTGTCCAACATCTTTGACAGCCTGTTCAGCACTTGTTCAGTCAAGGAACCGATGCTTTTTCCCTCTTCCATCTTCGTTAAACACCACTAACACACCGAAAAATCCACCAGTCAAACAATCAGTGCTTTGATAGTTAAGTCGCGTTCGGGTACACGTTACGCCCATAGGTTACGCCAGAAAACTGCAGGTTGTGAAAGACAGTATCGGAGTTCATGTGATAATAACGAATGCCTATAATTGTAAAACCACGAAAGGAGATGGTAATCCTACTTAAAAAAACAACTAATCACGTAAAAGTAAAGCACAAAAAAAAATGATACTACGAAGCCAAACTAAACATCGTGACGTCGATTAATAACTGCCACTGTGCAGCTTCTTCCGCCATTATCCTTTATCAAAGTTGTGAAGAAAACTTACCGACTTTCCAGAAAGTACACAAAGATGAACAAGTCCAGTTAAGCAGGAACGACCGCCATTACATTAAAATAGACCTTTCTGCTGCATGGCCCTCGTTCAGACAGATGTTGTTCCCCTGATGACTTTCTTCTTCTCATTTCGGTTCCTCATTTCTTACATCCCCGATAATTTGCATATAGCGTTGTCATAGCAACATCACATTATTGAAGCTAACTACAGAAGACGAAGAAGAAGGAGGAGTACATATATTTGACTGGGTGAGTAATAAATAAGTATTTATTCAAGTATTGTACTCGAGTGCACATTTAAGGTGTACTTTGAGTACTTTTAAATGCAACAATCCAAAGGGAGTTAATTGTATTAACAATTTAAAGGGGTCCAGTTAATATTTGTATTTTGTGCCTCTTCTGTGAAATGTTTCCATGCTTTAATGTTCATAAAGCTCTTTATTTTTCTCATACTGCCTGTGCTGCAGCACCTCTTTTCACCCTCTGTCTGAAACCAGAGCCTAGTCTGCCCTGATTGGTTAGCTGGCCGGCTCCGTTGTGATTGGTCAACCGCTTAGAGATGGCCCGCCCCTTAGCCTATCTCATACAATTTGCTGGATCACTAGCCAATAGATCGGTGAGTGTTACATCGTGATGTCACTATGTTACGGAAGTAAACAAAGGAGTCCAATGGAGGCGTTTCAGGCGGGGGGGTATGCCGGAGAGAAACTCCCTCTGTAGGGAACTTTGGGATGTTAGCCTTTGGGGACCATCCACATGGACAAAACCATATATATTGTAACACACTACAGGAAAGGGAAAACCCCAAAAAGCATAATAAGGCCTGTAAGTTACTAGTTACTTTACAAATAAGTTTTTTTTTTGCATAGAACACACAAGTATATAAAAACACGTTTTGTCAAATCTCTTTTCTATGTTGATTGAAGAAAGAATAAAAAGGCAAAATGTGTAGGATATTTCCTTTTTATTTTTATAATGGCTTTGCAAAAAAAAACGAAATAACATTATCAACGTGAGTTGTCAAAATATGAGCAGGTCATTACACTTCAGGTTTGAATAAAAAACCACTGAAAAAACATAAATGTGTTTTATACATACAATTTATTTAAATGCAATGCATAATCCTGGAAGCAAAGAATGTATAACTACCTTTTTGAAATTGACAAGAATGTAACACAAGCTTCACTTCACGCAGTTTGTGAGTTTTGATTGTATCACACAATCTATGAAATGTGAATGTTAAAATGTCATCACAACTGAGCAAATGGCGTCTGCTGAAGAAGTTGGGGGGGGGGGGGGGGTTGTTTCAGCCACTCAAATTTCCAAGGTCACCATTCTTGTGTTATTCAGTTTTGGTTCAGAAAGTTCCTGTATTTTTGTACTTTATAGCTTTCAGGTATTGTCACCAGAGTGCCATTAAAGATTCTTCATGATTTTAATCAACACACTTAAAGTGGCATTCAGGAACTCTGGCTCTGAACGTATACTATGTCAGTTAATTCAGTCCAGAGAGAAGCAACCCAATGAACAGGAAGAAGTGATCGGTCAGTCCAGTGAGAGTTAAAACTTCTTCCCTTTTTTCAGTTTGTTATTACGCCAAATATTCTCCTTCCTCAGGCGCTTCCAGTATCCCCAGGTGTCCGGGTCTATCTCGTTCAGCGTTTTGGCCTTTCCCAGGTTCAACTCGAACAACCTGAGGGAAAGAACAAAAGGACAGGTGACACTTTTTCTAAGTCTGGTCTAAATAGTTTTAGGACTTAGAATGGACGATAAAAAAAGGTTGCTGGATATTTCGGAGAATAGAGGAATCATCAATTTGACAAAATGCTGAAGAAGAGGAGGTTAGCTGTAAGTGATGCGGACAGAAAGCAATAGAAGTGTCAGAAGTAAAATAAATGTGTGTCCTCCTCACCACTCTGGATATTGGTCATGAGGTTTCAGCTGGGGGTCTTCTCCTTGCTTGAATATGTTGGCCCCTACTGCATGAGTAGTGAGTCTGACGGGGTCTGTACAAACCTCGGGACCTTGCAGATCCTGTTTCATCATCCCTTTGCCTTTAAGTTTGACCACTGCAAAGAACAGCAAATGGTAATGTTTACTTTACAGTGACATGTCGATCAGGGTTATTGATATGAGCTGTTTGAAAATAGAAAAATAAAGCCAATGAGATTTTGTACATAATATTCATTGGTGGAAGAAGTACTCCAATTCTTTCCTTAAGTAACATTAGATATACTTTTAAAAACACTATTACAGGTGGAAATCCTAAATCCAGAATGTTGCTTAAAAAAGCACTGAATTAGTATTAACAACATATACTTAAAAGTATCGAACATAAACATACTACTAGGTGGGATTAGTAGTATAGTACTGCATCATATCATATAGGCATATCATGAGTTTGTATCCATGTTTTTTAAATGCAAAACGTATCCATTAACTGGTAAGTGTGAATTAAATGACTTGAATTAGTTGCATATTGGAACCACTCAAGTTAAGTAGAAGTATGTCAACACATGGCTACACTTCAGTACAGTACTTATTTAAATAACTTCTATAATAAGATAATAACCACTGATAATAATTGTTTAATAGCATGAGCAGACACATGTGATTCAGATGGTATATATGGATATGTAACGTCAAAGAACAACATAACACTTATCCACTAAATGCTTTCCACTCTGGACACCTGTCCTTTACATCGATGTCTGGTAACCGCATTTAATTCACAGTATGCATTGGAAAACATTGAGATATACTGAAGATACATGGCACTTATCTTCTTTACTCACCAACTTTCTTAGCATATCCACATGTCTGTATTCTGTTCAGAGCGCTCGTTCTGCACAGCGACGTTGTGGCGTTGTTTGCGATACCTTTGGATAACGTTACTATCCTGAATAAAGTGTACAAAGACATTTTCCCTGTAGGTTATGTGAAAACGCTCACCACCATGCTACAGTTTGACTTTCATAGTCCTTTCAACTTCCGGTTTGGCTCTGTGAAAATGGTCTACTGCCCCTCTCTGGCCGGAATGGTGCACTGCAGGACGACCAGAAAACTGGCAAAATAATAAGGATTGTACTTTACAAAGATAAACACATAAAAGGAATATATAAGAAGAGATAAGTTGAGCCCTTAATATAAAAACAAACAAATAAGAAGCTGAGAAAGGAGTTATAATAAATTAATATTCAGACAATGTTGACGTTTGAATGTTCTTGATAGAGATTTTCCTTTGTAAAACGGCATTTATGTTTATTGTATTTGGTTGTGATGATGAATTGCAGAATCAGAATCAGAAACAGGTGTATTGCCAAGTAAGTTAACACATACGAGAAATGTGCCTTTGTGTATATGGTGCATACATAAAAGCGTCAGCCAAATGAAATGTAATAATAATACATGATACTTATATAGCGCTTTTCTAAAAACTCAAAGATGCTTATAATGCAATGTAATGTAATAAACACAGTTAAAGAAGATACATTGTAAGAAAAACGACCAAAAATGTAAACTATTTATATATTAATACTATTTTAACATTAAATTATAGAGAAATATTTACATGAAATATATAGATGTACCAAAAAAACGACATATAGTATAAGATGACATAATACTCGGATAAGAAAATGTGCAGTGTTAAGAGGTAGCTTTGTATATAACATTTGCCAAAATATGATATGTATTGTACATGGGCATCACGTGTTAGAAAAAGTGGTGGGGACAATTTAACATCAGCATAGCAGAAGACCAAATATGTCCCTCCCCTGGGTGTTGAACCTTAAACACCTGCATGAAAAACCAATGCATAAACCTCTGGACCACCAATGTGTTTTTAAACAATGAACGCCCAACTATAGGTCTTGTTGTGATGTGATTTGGATTGCATTTGTACCTTTATGCACACATCGAGCACACATGTGTGGAGGACAGAACATGACATAAGTAAAACATGATGCTTTGGCTCAAAGGGTAAGTGGATGTCTAAGAGTCAGTAGGTTGGTGGTTTGATTCCCAGCGTGGCAGAGTGTATTTTGGAGAGACATGTTTTAAAGGAATGTATAGGTCTGCTTTGCTTTGTTTCTGTAGTTCACAGTTGAGATATTGTAACAGGTTTTGTCCTTAAAAAGCCAAACAGATTATGATCTTTAAATTCAGAATCCCAACTGTTAAGATTGTGATGAAACCTCTGCAGGTGGCTTTAGCTTAAGGGGTAAATAGATGTCTACCAAGCTGAAGGTCTGTGGTTTGAATCAATCTCATATTATGTTATGGAACTAACGAGGCATGTGGTAATTGTTGTGTATTAAACGGAAATTAAAAGTCAGTGAGAAAGCAACGGAGGCTTAAGTCCAGTTTTTTCTAATGACATGTTCAGAAAACCAAGCTCCAAATGTGATGCTAGCCATTGTCATTGTTTTCCTCTTTGGGGTTGATTGACTGTGTTTCACCTGTATGTCTACATCTGATTATGTACCTTGAGGGAAACACAAACAAAAAAGTTACATTCTGAACACATACTTGACCAATAAAGAGGATTCTGATTATCTGTCTCTCACATCAATGAATATACAACAAATACAATATTAAGATATCTAATAAATGTTTTAAAATGAGTCACAATATGCTTCAGTTCAAGGATGTAATGTTCAGTAATGCTACACTATGAATAGTAGTGTACAGAATATCATTTAATGTGTTATATTGTTGTTTAATAGCAAACTGGATAAGGATCATTTTTAAGTGAAATTATGAAAAAGGAGACACACATTATTATCAATCAGCAAACTAAGAAAATGTTCTTATAAACATACACGCAAACAAATTACATTATTATGTTCATTTGTCGGCTTCTGGGCACTCTTATTCTGAAAATCCCCATTGTGATTTGCAAGGACTCTTACTTTGAAAGTTAAAAATCGGATGTAGACGCTTCCATCCTAGCTTTTTAAATTCCAAACTGCTCTTTCTCCGCCATTTTCGGTCGTTGGTGTCGCAGTGGTGATCGGTTATTGACTCGTTAAAATCAACAACGATAGTCTTCTATTACATTATTTAATTTGACAAGACTCCATACTGCAAAAAGAAGATGTCCACCGAGCAGGCCGAGAGCATTACGGTGTCCGAGAAAGCAGTCCAGCAGCCGCCGCCGGCGCAGCAGCAGCCGCCGCCGAGGTGTGTTAATTCATCCAGGATTTATCCAGGTTCATCCATCCAGGGTCCTTTGTTGGCTCTTAGCAGCTAATGCTAGATAGTGAGCCGTAGTGATTCAGATACACACGGATGTCTTTATTCCTGTATTAAATAAGAACTATCCCTTTGGTTTGCACATTTGTGAGCAAACTCATTTTAGGCACTTTGAACAAGTCCTAACTGTGATTACTTGTGTGTAACCGCACACGTTGACGACCCGTGTATTTACTGGAAAATTCATCCCATTTACTATGTGCAGTAATTCAGCGTTAGCATTTTTTTTGGCCTCTTCAAATGACTTGTTTTGCATGTCGTAGTTCCAGTTTTCAATAATAACTAGTTCCATTCATCTATGGTCCTTTGTTGGCTCCTAGCAGCTAATGCTAGCTTGTTAGCCCCAATGATTCAAATCCACGGGGAGGTCTACAAATACTTCCAGTATTCAATAAAAACTATCCCTTTTTGATAGCATCTTTTTGAGCAAATTAAACTTTGATACACTTAAAACGTTTAAACTTTGTCGTTATTTGTGTTACAACGTTGTTTGGAGGCGTGTTTGGGACCCGTCTATTTACCGGAAGAATATTATTTCCATTTAACGCTACGTGCAGGAATTTTAGTGTTAGCATTTATGTAGCTATCTAATAACTTCAGTTTTTAAAAGAAAAACTATTGTTAACTCTTTAAACTTTGATAAACCGCCGTAAAATAAATAACGTTATAGAGCCAGGACCACTTTAGTCAAAGAGCGGCCTTGCCATGCGGCTGATACGGAATTGTCCCGGTAGAAAACTATTGTAGATTATCATTATAACTCCGGCAATTGTGAAATGGGATGAAATAATACAATTATTTGCCCGCCTAGGTTTTATTTCCACTAACCTTCATCACCTTTTAAAATCAAGGTTGAACAGGTTTATTACATCAGGATGAGGATAATCCCCTAGTCCCTCTATTGGTTAGATTTGGTAACACCAGTGGCCTCATTTTCAGCAAAAGTCAAAATGGTGCCGCGTAGTTTACATTTTATTTGAAACTGTTTAAAACATGTACCAGAACCTATGTCTGCAGCTATTGTACTTATCTCTTTTATGTCCTTTTTCATTTGTGAATTCACTCCCATAATCTGATCATGCTCAATTCTGTACCTTTCAGGTATAAAAGCTTTTTACTCACTATCTTACTGTCCTCTTCATACAGCGAAGTGAATGGAAAAATCAAGCTTGAGACCAATTCAGGCAGGAAGGAGAGACCCCAGAAGAGAGGTGGAGGTGGTCGCTTCGAACCCTATGGAAACGTGAACAAGCGATACAGGGTTTTCGTCAGCAACATCCCATACGACGTCAAATGGCAGGCCCTCAAAGACTTGATGAAAGAGAAAGGTAAGGTGTTTAGATAAGGGGTGGACTCTGTCCATTTGGACATAATTAAAGAGGCAGCATCCAGGGTCAATTTCGTTTGACCACTGCAGCTTTGAGGTTTTTGGGGATTTGTGCAGAACCTTTAAGTTGTACAATGCGGCGTGAGATCTTGTGAAGAGTTATCTGGAACCAAGGTTTTGGACGAGGTTCCCCTCATTTGTCCGTCAATTAGGAGTTGCTGCAGACTTGCACAAGAGCTGCAAACCTGGATGTTAGACTGAACATTTAATCTCTTCCGAGATTACTAAAACCTATTGTGATCTTTGTGAAGTGAGTTGTACATGTGTCAATCCGGTCCATTACCGTGGAAATGGATTAGTTGGGATCATAAGTGGAATATTGAGAGTTCCCACAGAAATCCATGAAAGAACATTTCTGTATCTAAATGTATTTTGCCCAGAAACGGGGGACAACTTGCTCTGTTGCAACATGTTATCAACTGTGAAAGTCTGAGCTCATGTTTTATAAATACGTTTTAAAAAATGGAGCCAAGTAAAACAATAATATTTTGGATGCAGTCAATTTCAAGTTCTCTGAAAACATGGATTACATGTGCCCTTACTCATGTCTCAAGTACTTGTAGTTATGGGGTATTGGAAAGTGGAATATGTATTTTAAGTAATGCACTAAATATGCATTTACTTGAAGTTAAAGCATGTGTGTACAAGGCACAACCCTTTTTCAGAAGGAGTGCCTGGTATTCGTTCTGTGACAACTGACTGTGGAGTTAAATTGCATTTTCTCTTTTAGGTATGACCTTGACAAGCAAATGTTTTCTCAGCAGACCTCGATGTTGTGCCAAACACGGCCATGCGTTGGGGATTTCTTTGGGGTACAGGTCTACAAAATGAAGCAACTTCTTATGCACTGTCCTTGTCTCTAGAGGTTTGATCACTGATGTCCATTGGTTGAACAGACCTGTGATCTGGAAAGAAGGCGTCACTGTGGGCGACGCCAAAACAAAATTCTGATATTGTGCGTTTAAGGAAAAGGACCAATTTCCCCTTAGAGCTTACCTTCGTTAAGATTATGGTTAGTTTTCTAGCTTTATGTTCCTCTTTGACCTCAGTTGATGGGCGACTGTAAAGATGCATTGTACCTGATGTTTTTAAAATGGCGACATTTGACAAAGTACGCACAGGTTTGCAATGAAATGGACGGAGACATTGAAAAGGTGTTGCCTACTTGAAATTAGTGGGTCAATTATCTTAGGTAGAAGGTGGTGTTCGTGGCATTACATCCAAATAGGAAGGCTGATGGCCATTTCAACTGTTGTTGTCCTCAGTCTATTGCTTCTTGTGCTTCAGGAGAATTCCAACAAGGACAGGCTAAGAAGTCTTCACTTTTTTGAAAAGAACCAAGCTTGCCTTTTGTAGACCTGTACCATATTGTGCTGCTGCTG